CCCCCCCCCCCCCCCCCCCCCCCCCCCCCCCCCCCCCCCCCCCCCCCATCCTCTCTCTTCCTATTCTCTATCACTCTCCGTCTCCCCCTCCCACAGTTTGGCTCGTGCCCTGGCACCGCAATTAACTCCTCATCATCAAAGGGTGTAATGGAAAAGAAAGCGAGATAGCGAGTCAGACGGAGGAAGGGAAGCTGTGAGAGAGGGAGGATAAGAAGGATGAAGCCAGAGGAGAGTGAACAGTGGTGAAGCAGTGTTTCACACACACAAACACGTCTACACTCGCAGGTTCTTCTCTCCCCCCCCCCCTCAAATACACACTCTGTTAAACACAATCACGCACACGCAGCCTAAACTCGCTCTCAATCACACTCGCGTTCCTGCAAGACGCAGACGGAAATGGAGAGAGGGAGAAAAAGAGAGGTACGATATCCCCCCGGGAGATTATTCTCTCCTCGTTCCATGTTTTTATTTCTCACCCCTCCATTTCTCCTTTTCCTCTTTCACAGACGCACATGCACTTGTTCACACTGTCTCCCCCCCTCCTACCGCTTGTCTTTGAAGAACAAGAAGTATTGCTGTACATGTAGGGAAGCTGCTCTGTCGGTTTTCTCATTGTGTTTTTTTCAGCCCCTGATTCAGAGAGCTGTCGACTGTGACCGCTGTTGAAAGGATGTCAGCGAGAAAGAGAGGAAAAGAGAGATTGAGAGTAGAGGGATGAAAGAAGTAGGGGGGGGGTCCCTAAAGAGGGCAGAGGGAGTGATGGCATGCTTGTTTCTTTGTGCCCGAGCAAACGTAGCAACAGCAGCAGTGAGGGGAGGTGATGGAGATGAAAATAGCGAAGGGTAAAACAGCAGCTCGGGGGGGGGGGCTAAAGCTGCTAATTAACAATGGCACGGGCGCTCAGTAACAGTGACATAATTGGCCCTAGTTGGTGGTCTACTTGGTGGTGGTGGGGGGGGGCCTCAGCAGAGGAATGTAGCTCACATAATGTGGTTTGACTCTGAGAACACGTTATAAAATGTGCATAATCCATAATGTGACACGATTGATCTACGTAAACTGGAATAGCTGAGTCGGCTCCAGCGGCCCGAGAGAAAGACACTAACGTCTTGCAGTCGGACTCTCCCTCCAGCTCTTCCGTCTGCGTCAACATCACGATACGTGTCGCTGAATTGTTGGAAGTAAAACTGTAACTTGTCCTTTTCTCTATTGACAAACGCGACTGGCCTGAAGCAGATGTAGACAATCATGTGTCTCCTCGAGTCACCAGCTGCTTCTTTTCACCCGCCATAGGTTGATGATCAGATCCCCCCCACTGTTCTCACACACACAATCCAGTAGCAGTCCCTGTTGCAGCATTAAGTATGTGATCCATCACCAGCCTCCCACCTGCAAACACTGTCAACTGGCTATGTCAAAATGTTAATTATCATACACGTGTGAGTAGCAAAAATACAACTGTGTAAAAGATGAACAAATTGACACTTGAGCTAATTATTTTGGGGGGTATATGACAACAACAAAACTAATGACATCACCATGAACTTCAGCTGTACTTTGTGTTTATTCCTAATGACCAATTGTTAACATGCCAAAGTAGCTCAAAACATAGCTGAGCCTCATAGATTCACCCACACAGCCGTAGCCCATTAGTCTTGATTATTTTAAACCCTCCAATGACTTGCATGCATCTGCATCTTCATAACCCCCTTTTGCCCAATTCTGCAACAAAGTGGCAATTCAGAAGAGGGGTCTCGTGCATATACGACGGAGCGTAACGTTTACTGATGGGTTGGTGCGGCAGTGACACAAACATTGCACTGCACTGCTGGAGTGATATTAAAGCATGCTCGCTGAACCCTTAGAATATGAAAGGCGATGCTGCTCTATGTAGTCCGTTGCTCCCTGGGGCTGGCTAGATAGGTGTGGCAGGAGCAGCGTTGCCTACGGCGGTGTTTTCGGGCTTTAGGTGTGTGATTAGTCGGGTTAAAAGCAAACAGTAGAAAAGCAGCACACAGAAATAAAACCGAGCAAAGGAGGGAGCTCATTGAAGCGGACATTTTAATCAGCTACCCCAACGGGTGAGTCTGAGATGGTGGCGTGTCAAGCTGGGTTGTGGGCAATGATATCTGTTCATGTAGGCAGGTAGGGGAGGGGCGACGAGGCGGTCCAGCCGCCGATGCCTGAAACAGCTGGCTCTGCATGAAGGGGGAGGAATCAACAGCAAACCAAATGACAGCCGTTCACCGTGATCAAAGGAGCGACAGAGTTTCTCTCCTCGGATTCAAAGAATCACAACAGACTTTGACTCTGTGTCCTCACAGTGGGGCTCTGTGTTCGGTTTGAAACGAGCCTCGTCCAGTCGCTGCCAAGTATTGTGCCCTCCTCGTGTTTCTTCTTCTTTAATCCAAACATGAGGTGATACGGCTTCATATTACCGTTTGGATTATTTGGGAAACTGACAAAAATCCGCTTGAATTAAAATCAAATACGCACCGTCGTGCCTGTTGGATACCTTTTTGTCAAGTTGTTTGCCTTGCTTGCTGGACCTCTTTGCTCCCTGCACATCTCCTTTTGCTTTCTAGATGAACACGCTGTTGACGCGGCTTAGCGGCGCAAATTTTGACGCGCGGGATCCGTTTTCACCGAGCAAACATGTCGCTAACTCTCCCCCACCGACTAATCAATAGGGAATTCATGGTGCGAGTGGGTGTCATCTCTCCATCTGTGTCCCACTTGTAACGGCACCACGCCGTATCACAGTTGCCAGCCATCTGCCAATTTCCTTATTAGCGCGCACCATTATTATCGCTGAGATTTGTCACGCAGCTCGCACAGAAGCTGGTTATTCCTCCACGCAACACCGACGCATTTGCCAGCATCATAGACAAACATCTTGTTAACATTTATCACGTCATTAGGGAAGCATATGCGGAATGCTTGTTAGATTTACGGACATAACGCATGTGAATAAAGAGTTTGATAATATTAGAATTGTACTGATTTCCACTCTGTGTTTTTTGTGTTTTCCTTCCAGACCTGAATCAGAGAGAGAGATGACCCTAGTGTTGTCCATGAATCCTTTCCTGGACCCAGAGGGAGACCCTCTGCAGCGCCAGCCTATATGGGAGTCGGAGCGCTGCACTAAGACCTGCCTGTCCAACGCTGCGCCACCATGCAGCTCTGTAGAGCAACTCTCACAAGGTACAGAGCCTAAACGCAGTCGTCTGGTTATTCATTCAGTCGTTCATGTCCATCGGGTTTCATCAGATGCCGGTCCACTAAGGTATTTGATGAGCTTTACGGATGTTTTTGCACCACATCTGATAGTTTTTTTCAGAGCTGGACATTAGACTTCATTTGTCCAACCATCCATCAGTGTTTGTCTGTTACAGTGTTCTAGATGCACTCCATCATTCAAAATGTAGGGTTTGAGTGAAGTTGAGTACTGCATTGAGGTTGCAGCAGATGGTGAGCTTGCTTGTCGGGGCGATTTAAAGAGTTCATTTATTTACATTGCCAGTCAAACAGTCATTTCAGTATCAGCGGAGTTACCAAAGAAACTGGTTCTTCCAGAGTAGCCTGCTCGAAGGCTACTTCAGCTCCACGGTGACGTTTCTGGTTAGACAGAAACTCTGTGTTTAGTTTTTCAAAATGTACTTTTTTTGTGCTTTTCTGTTAGATTTTTTTTATTAATGCATTTAAAATTTGTTTAGTTTGATGTGCAGTTCAATTTTCCACAAATGATGTGATGTTCACATACAGAATACTTTCAAAACACTGACATGTTTGCTCTGTCTGCAGAAACCCCCTGCAAGCGAGTTCCCGACCATGTTTCAGTATCGAGGATCGCATACTTCAAGAGGAAGTTCGTTGATGATGACGATGAGCCTCGATTCAGCTTCAGGACGTACTGCCAAACTGTAAGTATCCAGAGTACACAGTGTATCCTACAGTAAGTGCCCTTATAGCAACGCTGTACTAGACTGTACTGCTGTAAACATACCTCTTATGGTCAAATTGTAGGTAATGTATCTATTAGATGTTTGTTATTATTAAATGAGGTCATGCAAATCTAAACTGAATCTAATCAATAACTCCGTAACTATATTATTGTACAAAATCATATTACTCCTGCACAAGTAATTTAAAAAGTGCTCGTATAATGCTATTGAATTGAATCTGGATCGCTGGCTTTGTAAACACAACTGTCCAGCCTACATAGATCTAATGGTACCGTGTCCTTCAGGTTGCCCCGGTGTTGGAGGAGCGTGCCCACGTGCTGCGCCTCTCCCTGGAGAAGATGCGCTTCATCGACGACCCCGAGGCCTTCCTACGGCGCTCCGTCCTCGTCAACAACCTCCTTCGGCGCCTGCGCGCTGAGATTATCCTCCAGAGCACGGACTGGTGCTTCCCACCCAACCCGGCCTTCACCACGGGCCCCTGCGTCCCGGCGCCCGGTGCTAACCCTGCCAGCCAGGCGCTCCACGGAGGAGTACCCACCCGGATCTGCTTATCGCCCCAAGCCGGGCCGCCCTTCCGTAAGCGCTTCCGAATGGTCCGCGGAGGACAGGGGGATCTACGACCCGACTGTGCCCAGACATGCTGCTGCATCTACGCGGCGGCGGCCGCTGCAGGACACTACCTCCACCTCCCGTTCTCCATGTATGACGCAGCGCTCTCAAACTGCCCGTCCACACCACATTCTTCCTCTTTTTTTCAACTAGCTAGCCATAGTAAGTTAGGGCTGACAGTGGCCATAGAAGAGCATGACGATGAGGATGAAGATGTTGAGGAGGAGGAGGACGAGGACGAGGAGGAGGAAAATGAAGAGGAAGATGAGAGGGAAGAGGAGGAGGAGGAGGAGGAGGAGGAAGAAGAGGATGATAGAAGAGAAGCTGGGCCTTCCCTTGATGTTGTTAAGGACAAGTCGAGCCAGAAAAGTAGGACTAGGAGCTTGCTGGGTCACACACACACAAGGACAGAGGAGGACAACCCCGTGACAGACAGGGTAGGAGAGGAGGAGGAGGAGGAGGGAGAACAGGAGGAGGAAGAGGAGGAAGATGGGCAGGATGTGAGACCTGGTCAGTTGGACTCTGATGCCATGCAAAGGGAGCTCCACAAGGTGAGCTTCTGGCACCGCAGGGCTCACAGACAATGATTGTCTTTACATTTTACATCTGTTAGAATGAAAATGTAACGATGACGACAACTGTCATCAGTTGAAGAATATTTCTCCTCATAGCAGATGGAGGTGTGAGCTACCTACGCTATAGTAATGCCAAGTCAGCTTTATTTGAAACTACATTCAACTCTATTGCTAATGTTCTAGTCGAATCATTTCTTTTTAAAAAAATACACAGACGGTTCTTGGCCACTGTTGGCCATTGGAACATTTTCTTAAACAATTATGTCGGCTAATGTCACATCTGGTGGGATCATAAATCCCAAAAGTGAGGTGAAGGGTCTCCAAGACCGTTTTCAAGCCCCACAGCACAAATGTAAAAGGTCTCCAGTGGGGCTTCGTATTGGTGCACCGGTCTTGTTTCAGGACCCTAAACAAGCCGATGAAATGAAGGGTTGTGTGTGTGCTTCTGTGCGTGTGTGTGTGTGTGTGCACCTGTGTTTGCAAGATATGATGTAGCATTTTTTTAAAAACTTGATTTTAAGCGATTCTTTTTATGTTCCTGTTGATTTTGGACGCTGTCTCAGGCAATGGCGAGCTGACTTGTGCTGCAGTGGCGGCACCACGAGTATTTTAAGAGACAACAATCGTAAACATCGAACAAATACGAAATCACAAGTTCAAGTGCCTTAGTGTTTTTATGGATACATGTAAACTGTGTGTTAATGTAATTGTTCTTGTTACTACGTATCTTGCATTCCGAGTGACTGCGTTTGACTCAAACGGGACACGGGCATGTAGTTAAATGCAGGGACTCTTTCAAAGGACGATGAAAGTTCAAAGCAAATTAAATTCCCACACCCAAAACGTGTTTGTTTTACTTCAAAATGCATGTTTTCTAGCACTACCGGTCTTGACAGTGCACACACTTAAAGCCAACTTTCAAAGCCAGTTGCTGAAGCCTTAAAAAGGCGAACAGCGCTCAAACCCTCCTTAACATTCGTTACTTTCAGTCAGAGAAGGCTCGCTGTGGTTTGGTTGGTCTGTCCGCTGATGAGGTTTAAGTCTGTCTGAAGCGTGTTCCTTTTCTACTCGACTGAAAGAAACCAATCGAGGACAGATGCAATACAGAGCCAGTAGTCGACAGATACGAGCCTTTCTGTCATGTCGGCATGATCAGTGGTTTCTTGTTTGTTGGTATGTCTCCTTTTTTGGCACCTCTGAAGATTAAGGGTCCTCACGCTGATGATAAAACCCAAACCAAAGTTGTTTCAAAATGTAAAGATTACATCAGTGGGTGTTTTGTTCATTGTGTGACGTACCTTAAACCTGAGGTGCTAGCATCGGATGGTCTCAGTTGGTTCAGGAGGTGGAATTATTCCTGCCTTGGCACTTGTCCTACATTTTCTGTCCGGATGTATAAAATAACAGCTGTGCGTCCCTTAAGACTGTTTTAACAACAGTGACACATCTACAACCAGACAAGTCGAGTACCAGCCTATTTCATTTCAAGACCTAAATGATAAAAACCCAGTGACTATCGGTGGTATTTTTTTTTTAAGATTAAAAAAACTGACAAAGCAGTATTTGTTGAACATGTAACTGCAATGTCTGTTATTAAAAACAAAAAAACAAAAGAGCAAGTCTGCTCCGATTAATTCTGTGTGATGTTCTGTGAAAAGTGTAAAGATCAGTAAAAGAAATGTTGAAAAAAAGAAAAATCTCGCATTCCTCCTTTTATTCCCTCGCATTGCAGCAGTTCACAGTAGGACGATGTGTGTGTGTGTGTGTGTGAGAGAGTGAGTGAGTGAGAGAGTGTGAGAGAGAGTTCCTGCTCACTGCCTCGCATCCCATCTGTCTGATGTTCAGTGGAGTGCAGTACCACAGCTTATTGCACTCGCCCAAATGTCTCTCAGGTGTCACCGTGCCGCTCTATTGTTGTTAATCTCTTTGACATTACGCTCGGAGCAGTCACCTCCACACTGCTCCCTGCACTCCCCGTCGTATCTATTGTACCCGCAATACTCACTTGTTTGAGCATGAAACACACCAACACACACTTCTACAGCCGAGAGATAAACCAGGGACAATTTACCAAAAAAGTAATGCACTTCCTCACTCACGATTTCTTGTTATTATGACTGCAATAGACCCTATATGTTGGCGTAATGCTGAGTGTGCATACACAGTACTGCCGTCCACTGGTATTACTGGGCTTTAAGTGACTTTGATCCAGTAATGGTGTTCACCATGTGCACCCTAGTTACCGGGTTATTTCTAATGCTGTGCAGGTTTTGTATGACATTGCTTGGAAGCAGCTAAGCCATTGGTGTGAATACTGTAGTGTGTGTGTGTGTGTGTGTGTGTGTGTGTGTGTGTGTGTGTGTGTGTG